TAGTTTTCACAGCTGGTAGAATCCAACTGGTATCCGTGGTTGGAGGCTAGGGATGCTGCTAAACATTCCACACTGCAGAGGACATCGCCAAACAACAAACAATCCCGCCCCAAATGTCAATAGTGCTGATGTTGAAAAACTCTGTTCTAGAAAGCAGAATTTACTAGTAGGATTCTTCAGTGAAGTTGAAGGAATGCAGATGCTGTAAACCAGCTAAATGAGAACAGTTGTTTTTTATTGTTAGTTTTTAAACCTTAACCACACTGTTCCCTTCTTTCTGGCCCATTTAATTTGCAAACATTTTATCCCATCTCCACAGCCTTCCTAACTTAACTATCTGCCTGGCTTGTCCAGTTTGGAGTCATATCTTTCTTTAAACCAAACTTCCCAGGCCCTCTTATATSCTTGACAAGGGGAAAAAAATGCTAAAGGGAGAGAAGGAAAAATTGTGAGGAACAACGAGAAAATGCAGGTGCATAGTAATCTCTCTCAACTACAAATCTTTTCATTTCAGCTAAATAAAGGTTAAGAGTTAACTGGAGAATGGGAGGAGGCAGAAGGTACAGAGGAAAGAGACATCCCACTYTGATCTGATTTTTCAGAGAATATGGTGAAGGAGGGGGGCCTACAAACAATTTGAATTTATAGACCAGATACTGAATTCAGAACAAAACCTGGGTGAGAGCAGAGAAGTACCTTAATTAAAAATACCATTTGGGCAATTAGCTGATTTTTTTTTCATGTACCSTCAAGAAAACATGTCTACGGTAGCTCCAAAGCAAAAAAACAGATTTTATAGTAAAACATCACTACATAAAAACCTTATAATGTATGTTAAAGTTATATACTGYTACTTCACTTGGATGGACTTGGCTAGCATAGAAATGAAAAACTGTTCTTTATTAAAACCCACGAAATAAATTTTGCCCAAATAAACTAGTAGGCAATCCTGTTTTATTTATCACTACTTCTACCTTTGGGGGGTGGGTGTTGAGGGGTGCTGGGGATCAAACCCATACAAGCTTGGCAAGCACTCTATCTATGAGCTATAATCACAGACAGCTTCTCCATCCTAATCTTATATGAATACATTGTACTACTTCCACATTCTTATTAGAATTACATGTGCTACAAAAAATTTTGAACCCACAAAGTGGAAACCTTGTAAAATAAAGTAAATTTTTAAAAATTAGTAAGCAATATATTTTGACCCTGCAGGTTTTGTACAGAGATAACCAGCAATTCTGTAACAAAGTATATTCTTCCTCAGAATAACAACTTCTTCACTCTATTCATTTTTTCTTTCATAATTAAGTAAAAAAAAAAATCAGTAACTGTCTAACTCTAGGTCCAATGGTTTTTTTGGCAAATTTTGAACACTCTAAATCCATTCAWAACAAAACAAAACAAATGCACTTAATACCTATTAAATGCACATTCTACAGTAACTGAAAAGCTTCAGAGACATTTATAAGGAATTTAAGGAATGAGTTAGATTTAGCACTGGACTAATATCTATATGTATTATTTCATTTAGGATATCCCTTTCCTTGTCTATAAATTACTACATGAACTTCATTATTATAGTGGTCTCAACCTGTCTCCATGATAAGCTAGTTTCAACAAAGAAATATTTTACAATTGTCCCATAAGGTCTGAAAGGGTTTTGACGCTCTGCTATTTCTCTGCTCTTATCTCTTGTAAAGTCCACCTCATTCACTCCATTCTAGCAACACTGGCCATTCTGCTATTTGGTGAACATGACAGGAATGTCCTAGACTTAAGGTCTTTGAACTGAAGAGTTCCCTTTGTTTGGACCACTGCTTTTTCCCAGAGCATATGGCTTTCTCCCATATATCCTGCAGGTACTTGATCAGATGCCATCCTCAATAAAGTGACCATATTATAATACATACTTGTTTTTGTCTCTCCATACTAAAAGGGAAGATCCAGCTTTATATTGTCTACCACTGTATTACGAGTAGTTGAGACTTACCTGGCAAGTCCTAAACTGACTGACAATACAGTCCATCCAAGGTGTTCCTGTTCCAGGATATCACTCCCCCTCCCACAGACCAAAATTTGAGGATGCTCAAGTTTCTCATTAAAAAATGGTATGGTATTTGCATATAACCTATACAACATACTTTAAATTATCTCTAGATTAATACTTAATACAATGTAAATGCTATGTAAACAGTTATTATACTGTATTATTTAAGAAACAATGACAAGGAAAAGAGAATACACATTCATTACTAATACAGTTTTTTCCCAAAATATCTCTCAACCATGGCTGATTGAATCCAGATGCAAAACCTGTAGATGCATTGGCTTACTGTACATAGTCAAGTATGTGGAAAGTCAGAGTGGTCAGTGACTGTTAAGAGCTGGTAAGAGTCCAACAATGCTCAGATACATCCATTTAATTCTGATTGAAGTAATTCCTACCCTACTTTTAAAAGCATTCTATAATAGTTAAACTTCCTTCTTATTTAAAAACAAATTAGTAGATGCCAAAGTAAATTTAAGAAAAGCTTCCAATATATTTGATTCAGATCACTGTTAGGGTAAACCATAGTGGATCATTATACAAATTATGGCAATTTACAAAAATCCTAGATTTAGCATATTATTAAGAGGAACTTACTAACTGYCTCTCCACTACTAAACTATTCAACATAATAACCTTTGTTTAAGGAAGGTTATAGACCTCTATAATAATGACCTTCTTTACATGTCTTTGTCTTATTTACTTGGAAGATCCTATATGATCAAAATGAATAATGATTTAGCTTCCAGCTGGAGTAAAAACCCCTGCAAGCCTCCTACTAACCAAAGCAAATTATTTTCCACATATTCACATTCCGATTTCCAGATTACCCTCTGGTGACATCTTCCCTCCCTTTAGGAATGCCCTACAAGTGAGATGGACATAATGGATCGAGAAAAGAAAACATCAAATAAGCAAAGAAAAGGGGGAAGAAAGGGCTAAAATTTCTCTAAAACACAAGAGATTACTTCAAACAGATAAGTTTTTGATTAGGCAAATACATAGCATACACAAACTATATTTTCTGTACCTTGTAAAAGAAGCCTCATCTTAAAATTCAAAGGATCAATTACACTTATACAATGGAGAAAGCCCTGGACTTGCTCTTGCTGCTGTAAGAGCACTGATAATTGGGTGTCTGATAAGAAAGGCTGGGCTAGAATATTCTCTCAAGTCCTGCCCTTGCAGAAATCTGGTGTTTCAGTGCTAAAACTAAATACATGTGATTCTGCCTCTATCCCTAACTGCCTCCACAGTTCAGGAGAGAAAAATGTTAGTGGAGAACACATTCAATTTAAAATTTCWATTCTGTTTTTTTCTCTTACTGTATCTGCTAGAGTTTTTATCACTTCTGAAGCATTAACAGATAATAAATAGCTTGGGTACATGGGTACATGTATTATTTCATTTAACCCTCACAAAATCAGAAGAGATAAATATCATTACTTCTGTATTACAGACTAAAGTTTAAGGAAGTTATACAATCTGGGCAAGATCACAAAGTAGATAAATAGCAGGGTCTGCCTTTGACCTAAATGCTCTGGCTCCCAAATCTTGCTTCAACTATTTTGATACACTCTCTTTAAGGAAAAAACACTAAAAAGAATTACTCTTTACTTTCACTCCTTTGTATATGGCTGTGTGTTCTCCRCTGGTTTTAATGCTTTACATAAAGCAAGCATTTTCTCTGTTTAAACTAGCAAAATTATTCTTAATTTTACGATTACAACATCATGACCTTCATAAACACAACCATTCCAAATGGTCCTGAGAACCTCTGGTCTTCTGTTAGTTTTCCTGCACTCTTTCTTACACGGGAAAAACATGCTTAAGACTAATCTAATGTAACTACATGGGTTCGTTTACTAGTGATCTGTTGGGTGTGGAAAACAGACAAAATTTTCTCCCTTAAGTTTAAAAGAGGGCAAATCACATGACTAACAGGTGTGGAGTTGGGACTGCATGCACTTCATCAGATCTCGGTCAAGGTTTTGTTCCTTTTCTTTCGGTGAAGTCTTCGTGAACCTGTTTCACGTGCAGCTTTGAGGGTTTAAAACAAGCACTGGGTCTTTGGGTCCCCGACACTGGCCATAAGAGGCGCGGCAGCCCAGGCACGGGTGCACTTCCTGATCCTCGGCGCACGGCCAGATCCAGGAGTCCTTAGAGACCAAGGATCTGTTCAGGGACTTGCCAGGCCTCCTTTCCCCACGGGGCGGGGAGTTGGCATAGCTGTCCGAGGCCGCCCAGGCTCAGCCGCGCGGTGCACACCCTTCCCTCCAAGGCCCCCGGAATGCGCACAGGGGGACGGGCTTCCAGTCCCTTCCCACAGACCCAAAGACCAATTAAGCCCAACTCAGCTCCACTGGACGAGTCCTCGGCGGCCGGCCGAGGGCACTCACCATCGTTCTCGTCGCTGTGCCGCCGCCGCGACATGCCGCCAGCCCGTGCGCTGCCGAGCCTAGAAGCCGGGCGGGAAGCGCCACAGGAACCGTCGGGCCGCCGGCCGGCGTTGAGGTCAGCAGCGAGGCACGCGGAGAGGACGGCGCGCAGGCGCACTCGCTCCCGAAGGCTCACGGAAAGCCCGAAGGGAGAGGCTGCGGGTGAGCGTAAAGCCGGCGTCTGGAGGCTCACTGGTCTACGGGCGTCCGGTCCGCACGCATCCGCCCCCTCGGGCTTCCTCCGCGGCCGGCGGCTTCCCTCTCCCGCCTTCCGCCTAGTGTCCTTCCGGGCCACGCGGAAGAGGCCGCCGCTCCAGCCAGCCAGAGCGCGCCGGCCGCGAGCCAARCCTGGGGATTAGTGGTGCAGGGCCCGCTCAGTCCCCACCCGGGCTCCGGGCACGCCCACGGGGCTCCCTTGCCCCGCCCCCCTCGTGTTCCCGGCGGCCCTTGCGCCGGCGCCCCTTGCACCGGCGCCCGCGAGGACTTCCGGAGCGAGGTGACGTCACGAGGCTAGCAAACGCGCGGCGTGGGTGTGGGCTAGAGGGTGGGGAGAGGTAACCATTGCTAAGCAGAGGCAGTTCCTCGAAGAAAAACCTAGGAAAGGCTCTGGACTGGCGGGTACGTGGCCATCTTACTCCCTCCTCCCGGCTTTTGCCGCCTCGGGAAAGCTGGCGAGAGGTTGGGCCAGGTCTGGCGCGTGGGGTGCGGCCTGGCGGGAGGCGGAGCCGCTCCGACAGCCCCCTGGGATGTGGGCAGACCTGCTGCTGTCTTGGCGGCCTTACCTCCCACCTGTCTGAGCTGATTAATAGGGACACGTGATGGTTTCAGTACTTTGTTTCCAGTGGTCCTTGGGTTCCTATTTGCGTGTGCAGTATATGTACATCTTCTGCCCTGACGTCTTTGATGAGCATCACACTTCCTTGTCCATGGTCATCTGAAATTGTACCCTCCTGGCCTAAGCTATTTCTCCCCCCAGTCTTACCTATTTCAGTAAATGGCATCATACTTCAGTTGCTTAACCCAAAAATGTWGGGAGGAATCATTCTTAGGTCTTTCATTTCCTATATAACTCTTATCCATAAACCGTGACAGCTGTACTTTTCAAATCCTCTGTTTACAATTCTCCCGTGAACTTTCTGTTGCAAGCTACAAACCAGGGTCTGTAAGGTTCTGCCCTCATCACTGTGCTCCAACCACTTTTTTGCCTCTTTTAATGAGTCAATCTTGTTCCCATTTTAGCAATTTACAGTCACTATTACCTGAAGTTGTCTTCTAACTCTATATGACTGACTCCTGGTCATAAGGGTTTCAGCTCAACTATCAGGTTCTCAGGCATTTCTCTGTCTATTCAATCACTGTTCTATTTCACTCAATAAGTATTGGATTGTGTTAACATTTATCACCTCCTGTGCTCTAGGCAGTGTTGTAGATGCTGAGAATGCAGAGGCGAACAAAGGAAAACCCATCCTCTCTTGGAGCTAAATGTTGTTCTAAATGACCCATAAAGGAATGGGCACAAATAGTGGGATCTGAGGTCTAATGAGCAAATGRAGAGTAGTGGAAGATGAGATCAGAGAGGTAAGGGGAAGAGATTTTGTGAGGACTTTGAAGAATAAATTGAGAAGCCTTTGGAAGATAACCTGATTAGTTTTTAAGTTACTGTCCTGGTTTCTACAGGAAGAAGACTAGTAGGCTATTGCAGTAATTYAGGCAAGAAATGCTGGGGAACTGAAAGGTGGTAGTGAAGGTGGTACAGAGAAGTCTGCTTTGATTGTATGTCAAAAACAAAGCTGATAGGATTTTCTGAAGGGCTTGATGATCCTTTGAGAAAAATCAGGAGTCAAGAATCATCCCACAGGGGCTGGGGATGTGGCTCAAGCGGTAGCGCGCTCGCCTGGCATG